TAGGGTCTATAAGGTCTTACCACTAGGCTAATTGGGCCTAGGAGCCCACCCAAGGGTCACCTTAGATCCATAAGGAATTATCAGCTGATCGGTGTTGAACCTATATAAGGAATTACCAACCGATCGGTGTTGAACCTATATAAGGAATTACCAACCGATCGGTGCTGAACCTGTATAAGGAATTACCAGCTTGATCAGAGCTGAACCTATATGAGGAATTATCAGCTTGATCAGAGTTGAACCTGCAGAGTCTTCATACCAGATCCAGAGTATCCCGAAGAAAGTTGTTTTCAGATAGTGTATTACGGTAGCACAGAAAACATAGTTCAGACATATCAATTAAGTAGAAATAGTATCCCCAGATCATGAATCAGACAGGCATACTTAAAACTTCAGTAACTCAGAAATCTTGGTAAAACACATTTCAAAATAGATAAAACAATCATATAACACATAGGGAACACACTAGAAGATACATTTATTTTCCGAAGGTATTTGATAATTATCAAGCGAGGTAAACATGAAAATTCCTCAACTGATCAAACTTGAGGAATGAAATCCCTTTTAAAAAGTTGAATTACTTACAGACTGATCAATCATTAGGAAAATCATACATTAGTATCGTATAATATTCAAATATAACCCTAGGATGTGTCAAAAACTGCTACATCAGAATTATTTAAGATTTGGATATTCACGTGGTGATTCCGTGAATCATACACACGTAAGGGCATTATAGTCATTTAAATTCCTATAAAATTTTGGTAATTCAGTTTAATAAAGGCAAACAATGATTTACAATATTTCATATTTCAAGTGTCTTATCCAGTTTCTAAATCCAGACGAACTGATCAGATCCCAATAATGCGGTACTTACCAAGTTTACAAGTAGAGTAGTATCACGAATATTCATTTCTTAATACTAATTGCGCCATAAAGTTGAGTTGAGATGGGCACTTTCATAATTATCATCGAATGAACCTCGAGGAGATGAACATGTATTCAATCATTCCATGACTTGGGGGGGGGGTATCTTAGGTCATTTACACTCCAGGTGCATTTTGGTCATTTTATAGTTCAAGGGTATTCCAGTCTTTTCCTTCCGTTCAATCTTTCCATTTAATTCAATTTTCCGAATAATTCAAACATGAATAGTGCTTTCGGTGTTTTAGTCTTTAGATGCTTACTAATAAATCAATAATTATAGGTCTTTTACATTGTCGAATGTTAGGATCTGATTATCAGTGACTATCCGAGTAAATTAGGAATTTAATAGGAAAATCAGTAGTTTATCGAATTAATTATGAATTCTCAGGGTACTTTCACTATCAGAGTCAGTTCAGGTCATTTTTACCTCATAAGGGCAATTTTTTAATTTCATAAGATTTACGATTATTCAGAATTGAATCGAATCGTAGGTAGGAACCCTATTTCATTTAAAGCATTTCGTTGGATTCCTTTCAATATCCTTATTTTATAAACTAGATTACTTAGTTATCTTTTTTTTGACCATTTAAAAGAATTTTATTAATTTTTTTGGTCGATATGATAGAGGGATCAAATGCCTCAGTTCCAAGAAATCATATATTCTACCAAGACATTATAAAACATGCAAACAAACGATATTATCATAAAAAGTTTGTTCATTGACATTTTGTTTAAGTAGGCACATTATAATGGCGTAGTTCTCCTATTCGAACCATAGTTTGAAACCAAACTTCTTATCAGGAGGATAGATAGGGCGATTCAGGTGAAATACAATGTAGATCCAATATTCACTCGCTTTGACTCTTTTAGAACAGGTTCGGGTCAAATATCAATGATTCGAAGCACTTCTTTTTACACTATTTCAGAAACCCAAGGACTCAATCGTATAGATATGTAAAATACAAGATTTCCAATCCTAGCAGGAAAGAGAGGGAAACAAATACTCAATTTAAAGTGAGTAAATAGAATCAGATACTCGATCTCATAGATATATATATAAAATTATGTGGAAAACCGTATTCAATGAAAGTCGTATGTACGGCTTGGAGGGAGATCTTTCATATCTTTCGAGATCCACCATTTTATATGGGGTCAAAAAGCCAAAATAAATGATTTTAGCCCTTATAAAAAGCAAACGGATTCTTAAACCCCTTTCACGCTCATGTCACGTCGATGTACCGTAGAAGAAAAAAATTGCAAAATCCTATCCAACTACAGGCAGAACACCTGGTAGAGAAACATAATCTTGAGTGAAATAATACCACGACTTGAATATTTTTCAATAAAATCATCATGTAATAAATAAAAAAATCCCAAAGTTATTTCCCTTTCTCCTTCAAGTTTGCCTATTCGACATAATAGATACATATCTAGATAAGTATATGGGTGCCCTATGAAGACTCGCTTTCACTACGGCTCTGGTAGGTTCCCTTAACCAAGCCATCGCCTATGAGTCGCCGACTTATTCTTCAACAGGCACGTGACCTTAGGTTCCAATGCACGAGATCTTGTAGCACTTACCAATGAGGCCCTCTTTGTCATTTGATCAATAGCCTTCCGTTAGATAGGAACATATTTGATAAATACTAATAACTCTTGGATGGAGTATTAGAACGGAAAAATCCATCAGAAATGAACTATTGGTTCTAAGCCATCTATGGTGATGAATCAATAATTCGACCCCATCCGATAAAATAAAACATCACCCAAATTCAAAGCCCTTTTCTTACCATTAGCAAGAACTTGTTTCAGTTACATATCATAAGGAATTCTAACAACCGCTTCAAATACAGTATCAGAAAGTACCGCTTGTGGAACCTCAATATCCATGGGTTTATTAGCTAAATGGAAATTGACACATACAATACACCCATTTACTTCCTGTGGATTTTCATACCCTTGCTCCGCAAAAATGGGATATGCATTTGAAATGGATGCCACGGAGGTAAATCCTTTCCCGCTAGGCAAGAGGATAGCAAGTTACAAATTCTGTTTTGGTAGTTCATATATTTCTAACAAGATAATTTCGGTAAAGAATTTATTGTTACTATGGATGATAAAATTTGTCTAAAGTATGTTTTGTTTCCAAACTTCAAGTATTTGAACATGGTCAACCAAAAATGAGTAGATAAAAATATCATCAATATAGATAAAAACATACTTACATGTGGAGTGGTATAAATCATGTTTCATCACTGAGATAACACAATGACTAAGGCTTTCCTAGATGTTTCCTTTTTGCAACAAATCTAACTATTTGGTTCCTATAAGATTGTTTGTTTGATAGGGGTATGATGGAACCTTGAAGTAGATCAGTTTGGTGTTGTTTCTTTCTTTCTGGTGGTAATCCGTCAGGTGGATCACCTAACACTTCTCGAAAATCCTGTAAAAGAGAAATAAACACGCTAGAAAAATCCTTGTTAATATTAGAAATCATAACAATTGATTCCTTAAAGGGAATAAGGATGCAAGGCTTTTTATGAAGAAGGTTCTCTCTCAATTCTTTTATACTCACATATAGATTTTGAGTTACTCTTTTCTTCTCACAATTAGGTTCACTCACCTCTCATGGGTCATGTTATTGGCTTTTATGGGGTGTGACATCTTTTGTTTTGCCTCTTTTTTAGTGTCTTTTTTAGTTTTGTGTTTTCCCACCCTCCTCGCAAAATTTCATCATATGACTTCAAATGCTGGGAATGCAACCAGACCTTGTACCATTCGTGATCACTTAAATCCTATCTTGGACGACTTAAATCCAGGAATTGTGGCACCCGAGATTCAGACAACCCATTTTGAGCTCAAATCTATCATGTTCAATATGCTAAATTCTATAGGGTAATTTAGGGGCATTCCAAATGAAGATGCCAAACAATATATTCATACCTTCTTGGAGGTGTACGATTCTTTCCGTCAACAAGGAGTGCACGAAGATGTATTAAAGTTAAAGTTATTTCCATATTCTCTGCGTGAGCGAGCAAAAGCTTGGTTAAGTGGCGTTCCAACGGGTTCGATGGAGTCTTGGATTGATATGTGCAAAATCTTTTTGCCACGGTATAACCCTCTGAACATGAACACCCAACTGAGGAACGACATCACTTCTTTTCGTCAAGCTAATGACAAATCAATGTATGAATGCTGGGATCAGTATAAAGGATTGCTTTGCAAATGTTCAAATCACGGTTTTCTAGTTGGACTCAAGTGGTAATGTTATATTACGGAGTTAATGTGCCCACAAGGATGATGCTAGATGCCTCGGTAAATGGGACATTACTCGATAAATCACCTGCAAAGGCATTTGACATTCTAGACATGATTACCAGCAATGATTATCAATTTCCATCTACAAGGCTTGGAGTTGGGCGAAAATCACATGGAGCATTTGATTTAGATACTAGGGATTCTGTGTCTGCCCAACTTGCTTCTATCACCAATATGTTGAAGAATTTGCACAGACCAAGTGAGGTGAAAGAAGTGAAGGCAACTAATTCAACATGTACTATTTTTTAGATACGTGTAGAGCATATCTCTCGAAAGAGTTTGGTTGATCGATATGCTATTAACTATATGCATATGATTACGAATCTATTAATATTACAAATAATATAACATTACTTTGTTTGATGCATTTAATCAGAATGTAGGATTATGATGTTTAGCAGAGAGAACATGTGATTATTTAAAATTACGTGTTATTAAATTATCATTATTTTAAAATTTATTTATTTATTAGGCTTAATTACCATAACAGAGTCACTTGACCCAAAGAATCCTCATCCTTTCCACATATGTATGCATAACTCCAACAGATGACAAGATTGTAGTTGTATGGAAGAGAAGCTAAATAGCTGGTGTAGCTCAGTTGGTTAAAGCGTGTGGCTGTTAACCACAAGGTCGGAGGTTCAAGCCCTTCTTCTAGCATAAATTTACTTTAGTAGTATAAATTTCAAATTTAATTTTCATCTGTAAAATCATCCAAAGAGTTATATAATGAAATACATCAAAAGATATGCAATGGCTTGTTAGCTTAGTTGGTTAGAGCATCGTGCTAATAACGCGAAGGTCGTAGGTTCGAGACCTGCATGGGCTAATTCCATTTTATATGTTATCGTTTCTTCTATTATAAAAAAAGCTTAAGAAGTTGAAGAATAAAACTTAAATTAACTCAATCAAATGCAACATTGTTTTATTCTAGCTAATAAAGAAATATATATTGCTTGATATTTAGATTAAATATGTTAATTCTTTTACAAGCAATTATGTTATTGTTTCTCATTCTTCCATATTTAATCTTTTTTTAGCACATCAAAAAAATAATTTATTAATAATAAACCTCAAAACGAGGTACCTAACAAAAGGACACATGATTCATCTAAATCAAGCCTATGCAGAAAAAAACAAAATCGTATGCGTCAAAACAAAAATTGACAATTTACAAGTCGAAATAAATCTCCTAGAAACTCAAACTAACTCCACAAATACTCATAGACAATAGAAACATTGTAGAATCATCAAAATCACCCACACCGATGAGAATTATGGATATTCCTCTCAATAATCTTGTTTCAATGTTTCAACAAAGGTTCTCTTACCAAGAGTGTAATGTACTTATTTTTAGATACGCGCAGAACACATCTCTCAGATGTGTTTGGTTTATGGATATAAGATTAAGTTTATGGATAGGATTATGAAATGTATTCATATTACTAAGAATATATAACATTACTTTGTTTGATGTATTTATTTTGAATGTAAGATTATGATGTTTATTAAAGATAACATATGATTATTTAGAAGCACATGTTATTGGATTATCATTATTTTAAAATTTAATTATTTTTACATAAAATTAATTATTTATTATTCTTAATAACCATAATAGAGTCACATGATCCAAATAATCCTTCTCCATTCAATATATATACATAATTCAAACATGTGATAAGATTGTAGTTGTGTAGAAAAAAGTTAAATAGATGGAATATCTCAGCTGGACATAGAGTTTGGTTGTTAACAATAAAGTCATAAGTTCAAGTCTTCCTTCTATCGTTGATTTACACTGGTAATTTAAATTCTCATTTTACTTTCAATTAGTTAAATCATCCAAAGTTTTTTATGAAGCAATACATCAAAAAGACAAGAAATGGATTTTTAGCTTGGTTAGTTAGAGCATTGTGCTAATAACGAGAAAGGTCGCAGGTTCGAGACCTGCATGGGTCAATTGTCTTACATATGTTATTGTTTCTGTTATTCTAAAAAAAAGAGCTTAAGAAAATAAAGAATAACACTAAAATGACACAATCAATCGCTAAAGAAATATGTTATATGTTATTATGAAGTTAATTGTTTTTACAAGCAATTTTTTTTATTGTTTCTCATTCTTCAATATCTAATCTATATTGCACATTCCAACCTTTCGTTAATAAGGTTAGTGAAAATTCTGCTCAATAATCTGGTTTCAAGGTTTGAGATTGATTTCTCTTTTCAATAGTGTAATGTATTAATTTTTAGATACGTGTAAGGCATATCTCTCGAAAGCGTTTGGTTCATCGATATATGATTATCTATATGCATATGATTATGCAATCTCTTCATATACAAATAATATAGGAGTATGATGTTTAGCAAAGAGAACACGTGATTATTTAAAAATTACATGTTATTCAATTATCATTATTTTAAAACTTATTTATTTATTAGTCTTAATTACCATAGCAGAGTCACTTGATCCAAAGAATCCTCATCCCTTCCACATATGTATGCATAATTCCAACATATGACAAGATTATAACTGTGTGGAAAAGAAGCTAAATAGCTGGGGTAGCTCAGTTGGTTAGAGCATGTAACTGTTAACCACAAGGTCGGAGGTTCAAGCCCTCCTTCTAGCGTAAATTTACTTTGGTACTTTAAATTTTCAGTTTAATTTTCATATGTCAAATCATCCAAATATTTATATGATGAAATACATCAAAAGTTATGCAATGGCTTATTAGCTGTTAGAGCGTCGTACTAATAACAAGAAGGTCGTAGGTTCTAGACCTGCATAGGTCAATTGCGTTGTATATGTTATTCTTTCTCCTATTATAAAAAATAAATATTAAGAAATTAGAAATTAAAGATTTACACTTAAATTGACTCAATCAAATGGCTACATTTTTATTCTAGCTAATAAACAAATATATATTGCATGATATTTAAATTAAATATATAATTTATTTTACAAGCAATTATGTTATGGTTTCTCATTCTTCCATATTTAATCTTTTTTTAGTACAACAAAAAAAATTTACTTTATTAATAATAATCCTTAAAACGAGGTACCTAACAAAAGGACATATGATTCATCTAAATCACGCCTATTAGAAAAACGAAATTGTGTGCGTCAAAACAAAAATTGGCAATTTACAAGTCGAAATAAATCTCCTAGAAACTCGAACTAACTCCGCAAATACTCATAGACAATATAAACATTGTAGAATCATCAATATCAACCACACCTATGAGAATTGAGGTTATTCCTTTCAATAATCTTGTTTCAATGTTTCAACATGGGTTCTCTTACCAAGAGTGTAATGTATTTATTTTTAGACACGCGCAGAACACATCTCTCGGATACGTTTGGTTTATGGATATAAGATTAAGTTTATGCATAGGATTATGCAATGTATTCATATTACTAAGAATGTATAACATTACTTTGTTTGATGCATTTATTTTGAATGTAAGATTACAATCTTTAGCAAATATAACATATGATTATTTAGAAGCACATGTTACTGAATTATCATTATTTTAAAATTTAATTATTTTTACAGAAATTTAACTATTTATTATTCTTAATAACCATAATAGAGTCACATGATCCAAATAATCATCTTCCCTTCAATATATATATATATATATATATATATATATAATTAAAAAATGTGATAAGATTGTAGTTGTGTAGAAAAAGAGTTAAATAGTTGGAGTATCTCAGCTGGATAGAGAGTTTGGTTGTTAACAATAAGGTCACAGGTTTAAGTCTTCCTCTAGCGTTGATTTACACTGGTAACTTAAATTATCATTTTACTTTCAATTAGCTAAACATCCAAAGATTTGTATGAAGCAATACGTCAAAAAGACATCAAATGGCTTTTTAGCTCGGTTGGTTAGAGCATTGTGCTATTAACACGAATGTCACATGTTCAAGACCTACATGGGTAAATTGTCTTACATATGTTATTGTTTCTCCTATTCTAAAAGAGAGAGAGAGAGAGCTTACAAAAATAAATAATAAGTCTAAAATGACACAATCAATTGCTAATGAAATATGTTATATATTACTATGAAATTAATTGTTTTTACAAGTATTTTTTTTATTGTTTCTCATTCTTCAATATCTAATATAGATTGCACCTTCAAACCTTTCATTAAGAAGGTTAATAGAAATTCCGCTCAATAATCTTCTTTCAAGGTTTGAGATTGATTTCTCTTGTGAAGAGTGTAATGTATTATTTTTTAGATACGTGGAGGGCATATCTCTCGAAAGCGTTTGGTTTATTGATATAAGATTAACTATATGCATATGATTATGCAATCTCTTCATATTACGAAGAATATAACATTACTTTGTTCGATGCATTTAATTAGAATATAGGATTATGATGTTTAGCAGAGAGAACATGTGATTATTTAAAATTACGTGTTATTCAATTATCATTATTTTAATATAAAATTTATTTATTAGTCTTAATTATCATAACATAGTCACTTGATCCAAAGAATCTACATCCCTTCCACATATGTATGCATTAATCCAACAGATGACAAGATTGTAGTTGTGTGGAAGAAAAGCTAAATAGCCAGAGTAGCACAGTTGGTTAGAGTGTTTGGTTGTTACCCACAAGGTCGGAGGTTCAAGCCCTTATTCTAGCTTAAATTTACTTTGGTACTTTAAATTTCCATTTTAATTTTCATCTGTAAAATCATCCAAAGATTTATATGAAGATGTAACACCCTTAGACCGATGCAGGTGACCCGATCCTATCTAAGGTGTCACATTAGGGCTACCGGAGCGACCTACAATAAAAATTAGGGAAAATTTAATTTTTTTTTGTTAAAACACCTAAAATCATAAAACAATTTATAAATACAAAATTAAAATTAAAATTAAAAAATATTCAAAAATAAAACATATATCAGACTTTAATATAAAAAAAAATTCAAATTACATGCCCCCTAATCACATGCACCGTACTCTGCAAGAAACGCTAGTGGAATTCCTTTACTGATGTTGATAGCTACACTGGTTTGATTCTTTTAACCAGAAAAGGTGAGTAAAAGACGGAGCTTTGGGATGCTCAGTAATCTAGAACTACAAAGTGATACTAACAGACATGCAGATAAAAGGAACATCATAATTTTTCCTTATTGATTCAGCCGTCTAAAGGTTTTTGGAATGAGCTGAGGTTCCACTGATATTTCTTAGAGTAAAAGCAATGAAGATTTTAATTCATACGAACATTTAGAGGGCCAAGTTTTTAGGAGATCAGAATAGAATGTCTAGTGTGTTCCAACAAAAAACCAGTGAAAAGGGTACATATCTTTTTAAAAAAAGTAACAGTTCACAAGCCAGTAAATAAGTAAATTAGTAAATCATTAACTTTAGTGAAGCGTATTTTCAAAACAGATAAAACAATTATGTAGTACATAGTTAACACACTAGAGTATCTAGTTATTTTCCGGAGGTACTTAGCAATTATCCATTGGGGAAACACGAAATTTCTACAAGCTGATTAAATTTCATAAACGAGATCCCTATAAAAAGAGGTTTGATAGATAACAGATTCATCAGTCATTTGGATTTTTTTTAGAGGCAATTGATCGTTACCATGAAGGAAAAACATATAACTTCTGTAGATTGGTCGGGATTCATATTTGAGGTCCCTATAAAAAGGGTTTGTTCATTAGCAGATCTAATCAACATTCAGACATTGATGTTTCAAGAATAATTTAAGATTCGAGTTTATTAAAAAGGTACTCAGGAACCTTTACATCATATTTTTTGAAGATCTAGATATAACATGGTTTTTCCATTATCAGGAAAAT